GTGTCCCTGCCGTGTCCCTGCTGTGTCCCTGCTGTGTCCCTGCCGTGTCACTGCTGTGTCCCTGCCATGTCACTGCCGTGTCCCTGCCGTGTCCCTGCTCCAGCAGCCCCACACCCCTGGGCAGAGGCTGTGCTGCAGGAACGGGCTCCCAGCACTGCCATCCTCCCCTTTGGCTCCTTCCCTTTGCCACCTGGCTTTGGACACAAAGGTGAGTCTCTGAGCTCCCCTTCCCAAAGCTGCACCTCAGCTGGCCCAATGGCCACCCGTTCCCTGCAGAGCCAGGCAGAGTGGCACTGTCACCCACATGCTGTGACAGCTCCTCCCTGCAGGGCTGGATCAGCCGGTCGGCCAGCTGGGACACAGCCAGAGTCGGGAAGGGCTGGCCAGAATCAGGCCATGGAAATCACCTCGGCTTCTTGCAGAACAGGAGATGGCTCAGTCTCCTGTCAGCCCAGCTCCCCAGGCTCTGCAGAGGGGTGACCCAGGGGAGGCTGAGAGCACATCCAGACCAGAGCCCAGGCAGGCTCTGCTTACAGCTTGACCAGCTCTGCAGGAAGAGTTTGTGGCCATTATCAGCCAGAAAGAGAAGGCACGAGCCAGARCAGTCTGGTGGCTGCAGAGGTTGTCACACTTAATGTRTTTGCAGAGARAAAAAAGAAAATATAGGCTGGGTCTGGTCTTGCAGATAAATTTCCTGCAGAGACTACAACAYGGCACTCCAGGGATTTAAAGAAAAACCTCATTTGATGAGCCCCAATCTTAAACCAATTATGTGATTTTTCCTTCCGTTCAGTTTACATACCATAAACAACATGCATCAGTGCACGATCTAGTAAAACTCTGCTCACATTAAGCATTGTTCCTACTGCTCATTGCAGTTCAGCAGAAGCCCCCAGCCCTTTTGCAGGGACCCCCATGCAGTCAGGAGCCATCGTRGAGCTCCCAGCCCCACTCCTGGACGGGCAGTGCCAGCTGAGATCACCCCAGGCTGAGCTCAGAGCTCCCAGTGCCACCCACAGAACATCCCTGAGTGCTGGGAGCTGCGGGCAGCTGGGAGAGCACAGACTGTGAGAGCTGCTGGGTCAGTGACCATTCCCTCACGGCTCYGTGAGCACCAAGAAAGGAGAGGAGATGGCACACGAGCCCCTCTGGATGCAGCACAGCCTTGCCATGCCCCACAGTGCAGGGCATTTGCTGCGCCTCAGCACAAGAGCCAGCATTCCAGGAGAATAAAAATGGAATAAATAAGTTATTGAAGCACAAGAAAGCCACCCTTTGACAGCCACACTGAGGGCTGGCTGGGATCTGAGCAGGCAGGAGGGGATGTGAGCAGCTCCAGCAGGACCTTTGTGGGGCACAGCTGCTGTTGAAGGAAATCCAGGAGCAAACTCCAACCAGAAAGATCCCTGGGGATGGTGAGGGAGCAGCTGAGAAGAGCATGAAGTAACCTACCGTGATCTTACTGGCCCTGTTGAGCGCCTCCACCCAGTCCTGCAGGTCCTTTTGGTCACTGGCTTGCAAGAAATAGCGCTGGGACAGAGCGTTGATGACTGCAGAGAGGGGAAGGACAGGGACATTTGGCAGCAGCTGCGTGGATTCAGCCCACCCTGCAGCCTCCTGGAGCAGGGAGCCCCCAGAGCCCACCGAGATCCCACAGAGCCCACCGAGATCCCACTCACTCACTCACCAAAGCAGAACGGAGTTTTAGGCTTCTGTTTTGGGGTGGCCACGCTAACCTGTGACAGAGCAAATCAGGAAGAAATTGGAGATAACAGCACATGCAAATGGTGGGCACGAGAGCTGCAAGTGTCCACCCACCCACCCTGCTCCGTGCCAGGACACAACCCCTGGGCAGGACCCCAAATCCGTGAGGAGCTGCAGTGGAGCTGTGGGAGCTGCTGGAAGTGCCCATGGCACAGCAACAGCGAGCAGAGGGTGCCAGTCCCAGGGGAAGGGCAGCACTTTGATCCCCTGTGTCCCCTCAGGCACTGCTGAGCTGCCAGCAGAGCACACAGAGCTTTCAAAGGACCTGAAAACATCAGCTCTTCTGGATTAACAGTCACTCTCATCAGCGATTAAAARAATTGAGGGAAAATAGCAATGGTTTTTCCTTAAAGAGTAGGAATCATTTATATAAGAATAATATTCTTTGGGGCYCCAAGAACAGCATTCATGGGGTATTTATTCCTCCTCCTTCGAAGCCAGTCCTTAATGCTTTAAATATGYTTTCTCAAGCAAACCTCCATTTCTCTGATGTATTTACTGTTGGTAGTTCCAGCCACTGACAGAACCCAACCCCGCAGTTTGTGACCAAATGCTGTCCTGCAGCAATTTTCATTTAAACTAAAACCTATATTATTTGTAAGTGAGGCTCCTTCCAAAATGCGGAAGGCTCAGCCTCCCGGCATTGCTTCATCTGTGCTTAATTTATAAATCATGAATCAGCAGGAACAGAAAGATCTGTCCCATTCTTTATCCAGGACAGAGCTGAGCTGAGCCTGGCGTGGCAGCCACGAGCCCCCCGTCCCCCCCAGCAGCTCCAGTGTCTCAGTCACTGCCCTGCAGCATTTATTGCTTCTTGCACTGTTCCTGCCTTCCCTGGACACCCATAACACCCTCAGGACACACTAAAGTGAGTTTCCAGAAGGTCTGATCCTCCTCTGCCCAGTCTGTGCCAGCTCTGTGTCCACCCCACGCTCCTGTCCCTGTCCTTCCTCCTCCTCCTGCATCCCAGCCTGTCCCGTGCTGGTCCATGGGTGAAGGKGRMCACGGTGCCAGCACTGGGATCCCCGTGCTGTGGGGTCACTCCCTGTTCCCCCACCCCACTCAGGAGATGGGCACAGCACAGACAGAACCAGGACGTGCCTTTGGGTGCTCCCAGGGCCAGCCAYTGCCTCTGTGGGAATGCTGCAGGGGGAGGGGGAAATCAGGAGCATCCACCTTCCCTCTGCCCCACCCCAGCCTTACCTTGGAGATGTAGGTCAGCTGCAGGGATCCCACAGCGCCGGCTCCAATGGCCAGGTTCTGCAACACCAGAATGAGAACGGCAGCTAAATGACAGGGTCGAGGTGGCAGAGACAAACCAGGCTGTCGCTTGTGCCCTTGGGGTCAGGGAGCAGCTGCCACCCTCTGCCACTTCCCTTTGGGGCACCTGGTCCAGCTCAGAGCCCTCCAAAGTGGGAGCAAAACCACAGAGGGGTCACAGCCCCAGGACACTGGGACACTGCAGGCTGGACTGTGGGGACCCAGAGGGGACACCTCCAGCAGGAGCT